GGTATTAATGATCCTCTGCATTTCTATTGGATCTGTTGTGACTTCACCTTTTTCATTTCTGATTGCATGGATCTGAGCCTTTTCTTTCCTTTTTTTTGATATGGTTAGCTAAGGGTTTATCAATTTTATTTATTCTTTCAAAAAACCTACTCTTTGATTCATTTATTTTTTGTATCATTTTCTTAATTTCCATTGCATTGATTTCTGCTCTAATCTTTATAATTTCCTCTCTTTTTCAAGCTTTGGGTTTTTCTTGCTCTTGTTTTTCTAGGAGTCTAAGATTCATCGTTAGGTTGTTTATTTGAACTTGTTCTATTTTCCTAGTGTGGGCATTCAGTGCTATGAATTTTCCATGTAGAACTGCTTTCATTGTGTCCCATAGATTCCTGTATGTTGTATTGGCATTTTCGTTTATTTGTAAAAACTGTCTGATTTCTTCTTTAATTTCCTCTGTGATCCATTGATTGTTCAGGAGAATGTTATTCAATTTCCATGTGTTTGTGAAGTTCCTATGGTTTCTTATGCTATATCTTCAGCTTTATTGCACTGTGATCTGATAATATACAGGGAATAACTTAGATTATTTTGTATTTATTCAAACCTGTTCTGTGAGCTAGTATGTGATCTATCTTGGAGAATGACCCATGTGCAGCCGAAAAGAATGTATATTCTGATTTTGTGGGGTGGAACACTCTATAGATGTCTAATAAACCCATGCATTCAAAAGCTTGGTTCAGTTCTAGTATTTCAGTGTTGATTTTTTGCTTAGATGATCTGTCTATTTGTGATAGTGGGGTATTTAGATCCCCCACTACAATTGTATTAGTGTTTATTTTGTTTTTCATGTTACTTAATATTTGTTTTATATAGTTGGGGACATTTATATTTGGTGCATATATGTTTATGATTGTCATCTCTTCCTCTTGAACTGTTCCCTTTACAAGAATGTAGTGGCCTTCTTTGTCTGTCTTGATCAGTTTTGGTTTGAAATTTAGTTTGTCTGCGAATAAGATTGCTACCCCTGCTTTTTTCTGGGCTCCTGTCACATGGAGAATTGTTTTCCACCCTTTTGCTTTCAGTCTATGTGCTTCTTTTTGCATTAGGTGTGCTTCTTGTATACAACATATTGTTCGATTTTTGCTTCTTAATCCAATCTGCCAGTCTATTTCTCTTGATTGGTGAATTGAGGCCATTGACATTGATGGTTATAACTGATATGTACTGACTTCTTATTGTTATGTTATTGTCTTTTTGTTGACTCTTTTTAATATTTTGCCCTCTTCTTTTAGTTTCTTGCCTTGACTATTTGATTTGCTCTGTTGGGCCTCATGGTGTTGTGATCTTCATTTACTTTTTCTAGGATATTGTTTAGAATTCATTGTAGTGCTGGTTTGGTATTCATGTAGTTTCTCAGATGTTCTTTGTCATGGAAGTATTTTATTTCTCCACCCATTTTGAAAGAGAGTTTTGCAGGATACATCAGTCTAGGTTGGAGGTTGTTTTCTTTTAGGACTTGAAATACCTTACTCCAGGCTCTACTTGACCTGAGGGTTTGTGTTGCAAAGTCTGTTGTTATTCTGATGGGCTTTCCTTTACATGTGATTTATATCTTTTCTCTTACCACTTGCAGTATTTTGTTCTTCTGTTGGGTTTTTGGAATCTTGATTATTATATGTCTAGGTGTAGATTTTTTTTGATTGTGGCTAGTTGGAGTCCTATATGCCTCACTTATCTGTATGTCAAATTCTTCCCCTCTCTTTGGGAAGTTTTCTGTCATTAATTCTGTGAACAGCTTTTTAAAAGTCATTTGCATTTTCTGCTGCTACTTCATGGATTCATATCAGCCTTATATTATTCTTCTTTACATCATCTAGGAGTTGTTGGATCAATTTCTCATGATCCCTTACTGTTTTTAAGAGACCTCTCTTTTCACGGTCACTGACTGCTATCCTATCTTCTATATCTGAGATTCTATCTTTGTAACCTTTTATTCTGTTGTGTACACTTTCAATAGAGTTTTTAATCTCCTGTATATCTGTTTGAATCTGTTTTAAGGATTCCATTTCTTTCCTATGTTGGACATTCATTGTTTCCATTTCTTTCTTTTGCTGGGTCTTCATGGCTTCTATTATGGTCCTGAGCTTATCTATTTTTTTGTCAGCTTGTGGTCTAGAGTCTCAAATCATGACTTTCATTTTGCTCACCATCTCTATGGTTATCTGGGAAATTATTTCTGTTTTGAATTTTTCTAGAGCCTGATCGATCTGTTTTGTTACTTCCTGTGCTGTGAGTTCTGAGTGTCCTGGAGGTTCACTATCAGACTTTTCATCCTCCTTTGCCCTACTCTTTGCCATTGGTGGACTGAAAGTCTGTCTTTGTGTCTTGGTTAAGTGTTTTCTCATCTTTATTTTTGCTGTTGGGTTGTCCTTGATTCAATCTCTGGGTTATTAAATCTTCCTGATATCATTGCGCTTCAGCTCCCAACTCTCTAATAACTCATAGACATTCTCACTTTCACAATATCAGAGAAAACAACTCATCCAATCTATCCCTATTCCTTATCCCAATCGATCCAATCAACAACACAACAGGATCAAACACCTCCTGTAAATTGACCACTTGTGGTAGTCATCAATCCATCACCCCCAACCACGTGAATTAAATTAAAATCAAGAAGCAGCCCAAAATATGTTTGCAGTGGAAAAACTCCTCAACATGGTATATTTACTATTTAGGATAGGGGCGTAGGCCTAATTAGGACCAGAAGAGTAAATAAGTAAAAGGACTGAAGAAGGTTTCAAGTGAAGCCAGAGGACACAGAATGGCCACACAATCTTTAGGAAACTGTAAATCTCAAAAGGGATAGACAGAATGCAAGTACAAGTACAAGAATATATGTCCTTAACAGCTATAGGGGCTTACTTTCCCTTGAAACTACAGACCCTTGAGTGAGACTCACTGATAGAAAAAAAAGAACATTAATAAAAAAGAAAAAATGGTAAAAAAAGAAATCTGAATTAGGGCAGAAGCAGGAACAGAAAAGATGAGGGCCAATATGGTGGAGCAAGAGACTGTGTTGGCGAAAGAGGACAGAAAAAAGAATTTACTGAGTGGAATGATGAAAAAAAGAAAAGGACAAAAAAATGACTTTGAAAGGCCTCTTTTAGACTATATCTCCGCCATCCTAATACACATGGTGTGCAGCCATGTGCAGAACCAAATCCCCCTATCTCATCTAGTGGAAGGCAGAACCCCATGATGCAGACTGACCTCAGGCCACAAGGACCAATTTGAGCTACCCGACCTCCTGCAAGGTTGAACTCCAGACAGTTCTATCACAGGTATCCCCTGCCCCTTCTTTAAAGATGTTCAGATTTGGGAGCTCAGAAAATCACCCTTTATAACCAGCCATATCTCTGCAGAGTAGGTCCAAGGACTGGCACAGTCAGAGAATCTGCTCAGTGGGGCCAGTGCAGCTACCCTCCTGGGGCTGGGGCAACAAAGGCGGCACTGGCAACAAAGGGGGTGGCTACCCGGTCCCATGGGCTGGGTCCAGGTGGGCGGAAGGAGATGTGATTTCTCAGCTGAGCTGCTTTCCCCGGATCTCACCTTCTTGGATGGCACTGGGGCAGTGATGGTGGCGCCCACCCCATTTGGGTTTATGAAGGGGATCTTGACTAGGTGTGGGTGTGTGTTGTGGGAAGGGTGTCTAACTGCTTCTGTAGTCTCACAGCTGTGCTTTGGCCTTTATCTCTACTTGCTGCCTGATCACACACACCCACCAGCAGTGACCCTCACCCCTTGCACTCCCCAGCCTTGGGATGTTGTGCACCATGAATAGACCCACCTCTTGCAGATTGTCTGGATTCCCCTCTTTCTTTAAAGATTAAAGATGTTCAGATTTGGGAGCTCAGAAAATCACCCTTTATAACCAGCCATATCTCTGCAGAGTAGGTCCAAGGACTGGCACAGTCAGAGAATCTGCTCAGTGGGGCCAGTGCAGCTACCCTCCTGGGGCTGGGGCAACAAAGGCGGCACTGGCAACAAAGGGGGTGGCTACCCGGTCCCATGGGCTGGGTCCAGGTGGGCGGAAGGAGATGTGATTTCTCAGCTGAGCTGCTTTCCCCGGATCTCACCTTCTTGGATGGCACTGGGGCAGTGATGGTGGCGCCCACCCCATTTGGGTTTATGAAGGGGATCTTGACTAGGTGTGGGTGTGTGTTGTGGGAAGGGTGTCTAACTGCTTCTGTAGTCTCACAGCTGTGCTTTGGCCTTTATCTCTACTTGCTGCCTGATCACACACACCCACCAGCAGTGACCCTCACCCCTTGCACTCCCCAGCCTTGGGATGTTGTGCACCATGAATAGACCCACCTCTTGCAGATTGTCTGGATTCCCCTCTTCGTGACCTGAGTTGATTGCCCATATGCTTGTTGTCTTTTTAAAATGTTTCTGTGACCTTCTGTCACCTCCTCTCCATGCCCTTCTCTTTCTTTACTGCTTTGCTGTCATTTTTGTCAGGTTTTTAAGTCTGTCATCTTAAACTAGGAGTAGTATCCTTATACATTAGGAAGCAGACAATTTCATTAAAATATTTGAAAAGCATCTGATCTCCAAGGAGGTCAAAGTGCTAGAGACTAGAGTTCTTTTGGTTTAAGTCTCTAGAGGCTGAATTGAGGTACAGCACCATATAGGAGATAGATAGAAAAACCCTGTGATGTTGATCTCACAGCCTCACTTTTCCTGCATGTAAAATGTGTAATCTTAGCCCTGCCTCTAAAGATGAAGTGAGGGATTGGATGCAGGACATCAGAGAAGCCACCAAAGGCTATGGTTTACCATTGTTAACTTCATGGTTGGAGTCATCAACGCCATGTCCATCCAATATACAATCAAGACTCCATGTCTCTTGGCCATGATGACAGCATGTGGCTGTCTACTAGACAAGCTTAACACAACAAATGAGCATGTGTACCAACACTGCCTCGTTTTCTTGCCAGAGGCCTCCAGTTTGGTTGGCAGAGTGATGATCAGCTGGCCAATTGGACGGGGCTCTTTAATGTCATCGATGACCCAGCAGTGCAGAGCAGCAGTGAATCCAGCTCCAGGTACCGATCCCAGCAAATGGCCAGGGAGGGGGGAGCTTGTCCTATGGGGACACTGTAATTCTTGCCACTTTGCTCACCCTCAGAGCTGGTCTCAGGGGAGGAGCAGCTTGGTCCAGTGGCTCACAGCTCACTGCATTTGGGGGACCATTTGTTTCCTTTAACTCAAGGACTGAGTAGATGTGAAGGATGAGGGATAGGACCCAACCTTAACAAAGTAGGGACTCAGTGGCCCCTTCTGGGGCAGAGTGGGTGGCAGACAGAGGTCTCGAGTCTCCATTTGGGGATGGGAGCAAAGGCTGTGCTCTGCAACAGGAATTTTGCACATCAGCAGCAAGTGTGAGTAGGTGTGTGTGTGTGTGTATTGCATTGGGGGTGGCTGTCATGTAGGAGTCCCTTGCACCTCTGAAATACACTGGCCAGCCTGAGTAAAGCTCCCTTCGACAGGGGCAGAACTGTGTCTAGCAAGATGGTGCTGAGATGTGGCATTCATAACCACACATGATTATTCTCTTTTGAGCTGTTGTAGTGTTTGCAGCTAGAATTGGTCACCAAAGGAACTCTGCAAATTCAGAAGTAGGAATTCGGTGATATTTATTCAGTGAGTAAAAATGGAATATTCTCAGACAGGGCATACCATTTACAAGGAAGGATTGTAAGGATATTTTTTATGTAAGGAATTTTTGTAGATACAGCAGGATCCCTTCTCTGCTTGGAGTTGGGTGTGGGTGTGACCTACCAGGGTTTCCAGAGGTTGATTGAGCTATTTTATTATTATTAATTATTATTATTGTGTTTCTAAGTATGGGATAACTCCTCTGGGAAAGAAGCTTGGACTTTCTTCATAGTTAATTTTGATGCTTAAACATGAAATTGGCCCTTCAAAGAAGTTATGTGTTTTTGAAGAGACCCTCCTCATCTTAGTTGGTTACTGAGACAAAATACCTAACACACATAAGTTCAAGGAGGAAAGGTTTATTTAGCTTATAGATTGTAGAGGTTTCACTCTGTAGTCAGCTGGCTCCAAGGCCAGGTGGGGTGGCAGAGGGGCATCACAGAAACGAAATAGTCCATGACGAACAGGCAAGAGACAGCAAAGCAGCAGTACCAAGCAGCAGCAAGCCTTCCTTCCTTCTACCTTTTTATATTCCATCCATGTTAAAGGCCTATTGATTGTCCCACTTACACCCAAGGCAGTGCTTCCATCACTTGATCCCTCAGTCCTAGCATCATGCCCTTAATCCACATTCACACACCCTAATCCAACCACTTCAAAACTCCTCACCTATGTATGCCTGCATGCAGCTTTCAAGGGACATTAAATACAACCCATGACCCCCCATAAGTATGCTTTTGTTCAATTCTTTGAAAAGAGTATGTGTTAAATATGTGACTGTAATGTCAGAAATGGGGAGAACGGGTTCACATAGACAGGTCTGAGGGGATGAGGGTGGCTTCATGCCGTGATGAGGTCTCAAGGGTCTGATGTTATCCTGTCAGGACTACAGTTCTTCCTCTATGTGGGATGCAGGAGTCCTGTCCTGCCCCAGTGGGAAGTGAGCTAGGTCAGTGAGTTGGTGTCTGACTCACTGGGGAGCCTCATGGAAGAGATGGATAGCCAAAGAGGCCTTGGCTAGAAAATGCTGCAGTGAGCAGGACCCTGGGAGATTTGTTTTTTGACAGATATCTCTGTCAGGAGCTGAAGCCATGGCATGGGTGCCATCCATAACTCATGCTGCCACCACCATCTTCTCCACTCTCTTCCTCAGTATTGCCCCTCACTTTCTTCCCTTCTCATTCTACTTGTTTTTCATTTTCTTTTTCTGGTCTTCCTTTCTTGGTGCTCACTTCTCCTTCCCTGTCTTATCTTCCTTCCTTCTAATTTTCTTTTCCACTTCTCTCTCAACTCAGGCCAACCTGTCCCGTCACCTGGGATCTCTTGGGGTCAGAGAGACACCGATGGCCTCTGTCAATTTGCTTTTGGAATTTAGCTGCCCTTATCCAATGTCACTACCAGCTGAGTTGACTTCCTTTTGGAGAATCACCATTTGACTAAGAATTCCCTTAATCACAGAAAAAATGTCATTACCACACATGCCAAGTTTCTCTGGGACAGGTCCGCTTTGAAGTCTCAGTTTCCAGTTGACCCTAAAAGCACCCACATATGTGAGAGTCTGCTATGCTCAGTTCCCACATGTGGAAGATAATGGCTAATGTAATCAGAACTGAGCTGTAAGTGGGAGATTTTTTACATTGGTGAGTGAGCAGGTTGTGACTTCTTTAAAATGGGTTGGGCCATACTTTCAAAACTGCTATACAGATTCAATGCAATCACAACTGAAATCCCAACAGTATATTTCACAGAACTAGAGAAAACAGACCAAAAATTCTTTTGGAGCCAGAAGAAACTTAGAATAGCAAAGGCAAATGTAGGCAGTAGAGACATGACAGGGGGTATCACACTCCCCGACTTGAAACTATACTACAAAGCCACCGTGTTAAAAACAACATGGAACTGGGAAAGTAACAGACACGAGGATCAGTGGAATAGATTAGAAGATGCAGAAACAACTCCTGACATACTCAGCTACCTCATCTTTGACGAAGGAGCCAACCATCCTCACTGGAGGGAAGATAGCCCTTTAATATATAAATGGTGTTGGAAAAACTGGGTTTCAACCTGCCAGCACTTAAAACTAGACCCCTATCTTTCACCCTGAACTAAATTAAAATTGAAGTGGATTAAAGATCTAAGTATTAAAACAGAAACACTAAAGTTGCTGGAAGATTAGGTAGAACTCTCAAAGACATTGGCATAGGAAAAGATTTTATGAACAAATTCTTAGTAGCACAGGAACTAGCACAAACAATCAACAACTGGGATCTCATTAAAAAGCTTCTGCACTACAAGAAAAACCACCAACAGAGCTAAGAGACAACCTAAATGTGGGCAAAAATTTTACCAGCTGTTCCTCAGACAAAGGTCTACTATCTAGAAAATATACAGAACTAAAAAAAGTCAGACCCCCAAATATACTCAATTCAAAAATGGGTATCTGAAATGAAGAGACATTTCTCAGACAAACAAGTAAAGCAGCAAGCAAATATATGAAAAAATGTTCAACATCACTGGTAATTCAAGAGCTGCAGATAAAAATCACACTGAGATTCCACCTCACCCCAGAAAGAATGGCTGCTATCAAGAAATCAACCAATAATAAATGTTGGTAGAGTTGTGGGGAGAAATGAACCGGAACCCTTCTCCATTGTTGGTGGGAGTGAAGACTGGTGCAACCGCTGTGGAAATCAATATGGAGACACCTCAGATAACTAGGATTAAAGGTTTCACTTGACCCTGACATCCCTCTGCTGGGTATCTTTCCAAAAGAATTAAAAGAATCATACCAGAGTGATATATGCACACCCATGTTTATAACGGCACAGTTTGTAATAGCTAAAACTTGAAAACAGCTCACTTGCCCATCAACTGGAAACTGGATAAAGAAGATGTCGTTTTTATATAAAATGGAGTACTACTCAGCCACAAAGAATGAGAAACTAGAGACATTTAAGGCTAAGTGAATGCACATTGAGGGCATACTCTTAAGTGAAATAGGACACACATGTGTAGATACTGAATAGTTTCTCTCATCTGAAAACTAAAAGTGTAAATAAGGTCCAAGTGGTATAATTGATAATGTGAAATGGAAAGAAAAGATCTAAAGGAGTAGGGGAAGTGGGAAGGGTAGAAGAAAGAAAAAGAAAAAATAAGAGAAAAGGAAAAAAATGGAAACAAAGTATTTGTAAATAGGGAAGGGTGGAGGGGTAGAGGGAGTGAAGGGAGGGCAGGGGAATGGGGAAAAAGAAGAACCAAGATACATTATGTAAGGTACAAGATCCCCAAAATGAATATAACTATATTGTATACCTAAATGTACCAATA